AGTCAAAATGATGTTGCTAAGTTTTTTTGATGTTAGGTGGATTATTCATTATTAATTTGTACCAACTGGACAGTTAACCAAGTTTACTATTTGGAAGTACTGGAAAGGTTGTGTGTAAAAGTTAGACAAAAATGACCTGAACTTTTCAGCAACAATTCATGGCTCTTGCATCAAAATGCACCAGCTCACACAGCACTGTGAGGGAGTTTTTAGCCAGTAAACAACTGTATTGGAATACCTTCCCTACTCTCCTGATCTGGCCCCCAATGACTTCTTTCTGTACCCAAAGATAAAGAAAATATTGAAAGGAAGACATTTTGATGACATTCAGGACACCAAGGGTAATACGATGACAACTGTGATGGCCATTCCAGAAAAAAGAGTCCCAAAATTGCTTTGAAGGGTGGACTAAGCACTGGTGTCAGTGCATAGCTTCCCTAGGGGAGTACCTCAAAGGTGACTGTAGTGATATTCAAAAATGAGGTCAGTAGCACTTTTTCTAGGATGAGTTCTCGAACTTAACTGTCAGACCTCCTCTATCGACACATTCTTTTACCTACTATATAGTAAAGTATACATACAAAGTGTAAAAACATATAATACAAAGTATACATTTCTATGCATCAGTCTCCCTGTTGATAGACATGATTTCATTAGGAACTATTGCTGAGACTGCGATATTTAAGAATAGAGTTATACTTAGTCTAAGTTTTATTGTCAATACAGTTAATAATATATACTAAACATAAGTGTTCTGAAGGACTTTAAAATATATTTTAATGGCGTAATTCTTACAAGTTATGGAATTTCTTGAGTAAGTTTCTGATTGCTTAAGACCTCAGAAGTGATGGTTATATTGACATAGGATGCATACATTTTCATTCTTTTCCTTTCATTATAAATCAGTTTCAGTGGATACTCCTTTAGAAATTGGGACATTTTGAGTTTCCTGAAGAGCCTTGAGAGATATATTCTCAAAATTAAGGAACCTAGATAAAGTTAAAACATTTTCTTTTAGCATACATTCATTTTATATTCCCACTAACATATACTAGCTGCATTAATGTTCTCATTAATAAAAAAGTGAAAATATATTTGATAATGAAATACCTCTGCAAATTTAGTTATTTGACATTCGTATATCTTTTTCTGAAGTACTATGCTTAGAAATACTGTATCCTCAGCAGATTTGTATACAGAGGGGGAACTTGGATATAATTATTATTTGACAAATGCCTTATGACTTTCTGCTTTGGGACTATCAAAGCCCTCTAACTGAAATGTTCATGACTACCCCTGGGATAAATTCAGCTGCTTGTTTTGGATCTACAATAGAACATTAAAAGAAAAAGAAAAAGGAAACAAAATTATAGCTGAGAACAGAATACCACCAAACCATTATAATAAACAGTCTGCTAGGAGAGGGTTGATCAGGTCTTTATATTACTGGGACAACCATCTGAGTTGGGATGCTGAACTGTTGCAACTCCAAGACATCTGGACTTTTTAAACCTCACATTGCATACAATCTAAGGAATATTTTTATATTTGGTTGATGTATAATTTGCAAATTTTGATGACTAAAATTGGAAAAATATTAGTAACTTCCTACTGGCTTTATAAATTCGTACTGGGCTGTCACCATTACCCAGATTTTTTTCTTTTAATTATTTATTATTATGAAATACACATTTTTCAGAATTAGTTTCAGCTGTCCAATACAGTGCAATAGTTATATGAAAATTTACTCACTAGACTGGACGCTCCTCAAGGGCAAGGGCCACTTGTTCATTATTCATCTTTGTGCCACATCCCCTAGGACCTAGTAGATATTCAATACATGTCCATTGAGCTAAAGTGACCTTGCCCGAGTAAAAGTGTGTCACATACACAGAAATGGCTAGCCTGACTATAGGTTGACTTGACACACAGTTAATTTTGAAACTAAAAATGAACTGAAGACACATTGCCTGAGAGAAAACAGGCTCTCCCTGTATTCCTGCTTTAAGGATAAATTAAGTTTCCTTTAAGCATAGCACATAAAGAAGCTGATATATCTGTTAGTTTAACCTCTTTGAATTGGGTTCTCTGCATGGCCTAATGTTCAGAAACTGGTAAGGGGCTCCCATGTATAGAATGACACTCCTAATTAACACTGATTTACCTGAGGCCTCAAACCAGAGGAAGCAGAAAACATCCATATGTAGGGGCCAGTTGAGTGGCTCAGTTGGTTAACAGCGCGAGATCTGAACAACAGGGTCGCCAGTTCGATTCCCACATGAGGCAATGAGCTGCGCCCGAGCTGAGCTGCCACTGAGCTGCCAGCAGGTGGCAGGATAGCTCAGCTGGTGAGAGTATGCGCTCCTAACAACAAGGTTTCCGGTTTGACTCCTGCATGAGATGGTGGGCTACACCCACCTGCAACTAAGATTGAACACGGCACCTTGAGCTGAGAAGCTGCGAGCTGCCGACGGGCAGCAGGATGGCGACTGGACTTGGAGCTGAGCTAGCTGTGCCCTCCACAACTGAGACTTAAGGACAACAACTTGGCTGTTCCCTTCCCTAATTCCCCAATAAAATCTTTATAAAAAAAAAGAAAAGAAAACATACATATTTAGTCCATATCTCCAAGGCAACAGATTACCTCAGCATCTGTAGAAAAACAAGCACAGATGATGATGTTGAATATTTTAAGTGTTCCCTATACCCACTGTTACAGTGATTAGAAACAAGGATAATTTATTTCAGAAACCAGGCAACAAAAGATTTTATCTTCTCTAATGTACGTATGTACTTTGTTTTTCATTGCTAATACTCCATAGTCATTCTTGGTCAATTAACATTATCTTAGCGCCAAAAATAAAGGTTCAAAGTTAGTTTGGACATAAATGACTAAGATACTCTCTTTTTAAGACTATAAGGAGCTACAGGCCTCAAATAGGGTGCCTCCTCCCCCAAATTGGAAGAAGACATCTGAATTTAAAACCAGTAAGTCCCCACAAAATGAGACTGTTGAAGAAACCTGCCCTGAAAGGTGTTTTATAAATGAGTTACTGATGAGACTATTTACCACTTTTATCCACCAGGAATAAACAATAAAATATAACAATATGGTAAGCTGTAGAATATAACTGTCATAACAAAGGAAAATAGTCTACCCAGAACTTAAAAAGGATATAGGAAGTAAAATATCAGAGCACCTCTATGGGCTAGAAAAGAAAATTTATGGCATACACAAGCATTCTAATTAATGATGAAGCAGGAAAAATTATCCAAGCCTTCCCCCAGCCAAGATTAAATCTTCCCCTAAATCATCAACGTTTTTTGCTCATAGCCATGTTCACCAAGAAAGTTCCTATTTACTAATTGTTTACCCTAAGCAGACTTATCACTGTACAATAATATATTTACATTCTAACATGGGAATCTCCAAGTCTCACAAGTTTCATTAGTGGGTAGTAGTTTCTCAGTCTGAGGGTCAAACCCTGGATCTATTACCTTCACCTGTGTTGTATTTTGGGCGGCCCAGCTGTAATAGCCAGCCAAATGGTCTCTCTTTTTACTGCCTACCCTCACCTTTCTCACCAACTTCTAACTGTAACACAGGTCACCACAATCTTGTAAATGTCTGTATCCAGCTGAAAAATGAAACCACAGGTCATATATTTGTAAACAACCAAATGGACATGGTTCAGACACTAGAATAACAGCAAAGTTAGGAAGAAAGACCTGTTATCACTATGTACATTAATAATTGCTCATTTAATTCCCAAAGCCGCTTACTGTTCTTACTGAAGTAGGTCCATGGCCTTCATATGCCACTTATGATAGGAGATACACATTATTTGAGGAATAGAGTGGGGACCCAAACCTGGAAGTTCTGGGCATCTGTGTAGCTTCAAGAGAAGGCACTAAATAAGTTGAACCTGAATCTGATCAAGCTTATCTCTTTACAGGCTATACACTGGACATAAAAACAAGTTAAATTACAGTGATATAGTCAACAAAATCCAGAAAGTGGGAGGAGACTCTATAAGACAAAACAACTAAATTTAAGTAATTAAAGGGGAAAAGAAGGAGGGGGGACTTATAGATTGAAAGTGACTTAAATAAATAACAACCAAATACAATATATGGACCTTGTCTGGAACCTATTTCAAGCAAACCAGTGATTACAAAAATAAAGAGAGACAATCAAGTCCATTTGTCACATATATGAACACAGTCCAGATATTTGATATTAAAAAACAGGTAATATATTTAGGTGTGATAATGATATTGTGGTTGTTTTTTTAAATGCCACTACCTTTTAAAGATACATATTAAACTAATAATGGATGAAATGATATATCTGGGATTTGCTTCAAACTAATCAGGGAGTGGGGAGAGAAGGAATAAGTGAGATATAGATGAAATAAGATTGGCCATGGATTGAAGCTAAGTGATGGATACAGAAAAGGTCCATTATGCTATTCTCCTCATGCTTTTGTATATGTTTAGAATTTTCCATAACAAAAAGTTTAAAAATAATAACAACAAACAAACAAAAAATACACACAAAAGAGAAGGGGCACTTCTAGGTGCCCTGGGATAATGGGATAACATTCCCAGTGTAGCTTCCAGCCCCATTAAGTTGTCAGATTCTCTGGGAGAGGGGAGTCAGCCATATACTGGCAAGTCCATTTACCGAGTCCTGCCCTTCATCTTACATCATTAGCCTAAGAAAGGACATGAAGTTGTCTGAGTTTGGTTACTTACCAGCTACCTTTTAATGTCTAAGTTTGTTACCCAATTTTATCTTGAGTTTAAGAAGAACTAAAATAATTTCTGAAGGCCGGCTGTGTGGCTCAGTTGGTTAAGAGCTTGTGCAAGAGTGTGAGCTGTGAGCAACAGGGTTGCCGGTTCCATTCACGGCCTGAGCTGAGCAGCCACTGAGCTGCGAACAGGTGGCAGGATGGCTCAGCTAAAAATAATAATAATAATAATTTTTGAAGCTAACAGAATTTTAGCATCTGTTGAATTTATTCAGCATAACCACAGAGGTATTGTTTTCATGCTGTCACACACAGACACAAACACAAATACAGCACAATATCCATATTTAGCCCAAGTGCATTCCTTCTGAAGCTCATTTATATGTCTTCATATGCCACAGCCCATCATTTAAATAATGGATATTTTCAATGCCAATTCCTTTGTTGACTTTCTCACTGTAGAAGGAAAAAGCACATAAACATATTGTTATGCATTTTTATAAGCTTAGTCATGGTAAATATAATTCAAAGTGCATTGCTATTTTGCAATTATTGAGCCACATGTAGGGAATTTAGTTATATTACACTAACATTATTGTCTACATTAAACTACATTATTCTGCTGCAGTTCATGTCTTAAAGTGATTCTAGTAATCTAACTAGTGGATTTACAGAAACAGTAATGATGCATGACCATACAAGGAGAACATCAAATGTTCAATTAACCCTGAAATAAAATTCATAGGAATAATTTGGTTATCAAACGAGTTCCAAAGCTTTTAAATATATTGACTATATTTTGGTAATATATTTTAAATATTTCCTTAATATTCTATACCACCAGGTAAAATATAAGACAAATACGGTGTGGTGCCAAACTATGTCACTGTTTTAAAAATCAGTAGCAAAACATCTCCACCCCATCCAATTTAAATCATACTAAATAAAAAATTCCTAGAGCACCACACACATACATATAAAACAGCTGTGTTGGCACACGGGTTCTTTTCAGAGTGCTTAAGAAAGAATACAAGCCCGGAGACCAAATATGTTTCAATGGCTTCCTGAGTGTTAGGAAAAATCAGAAATGAGGCTTCTGCGCTTACACATTTGAAAGATGTGGTATGAAAGAGCAAATTTCACCTGTAATTCTGATGCTTCTTGCATAGGTTATCCATATCTCAAAAGCTAAGGGGGCCTAATGTGAGACTTACATATCTTCTGCAGACATCTTCATGACTCCGACACACAGAGCATGCTGTTTACCTTCTGCCATGATGGCCTGAAAATCACAGCTAAGAAAATTATCAAAATGCCTTGAAGAGGGGGTGTCAAATAATTGTCACGGGGCTGGCCGAGTGGCGCGATGGTTAAGAGCTGGCTTGGGATGCCAGAGGGCCCCGGTTCGGATCCCACATATGAAGGCCAGTAACACTGCCCTCTACAGCTAAGATGCTGAACAACAGCTCGACCTGGAGCTGGGCTGCCTGAGTCGCCAGCGACGGCATAGGCTGCAGTGGGCTGCCATGGGCTACTGTGTGTAGCCAGCAGCCAGCGTGAGCGGCCAGCAGCCGCAGTGAGTGGCCGTCCAGAAGCAAGCGACTGATCTGCCTCGCCTGGGAAGAGCGCAATGATGGTGCTAACTTGGGCCAGTGAAGCAATGTCCTCCACAACTAGACTGAAGAACAAAAAGGGCAGCAACTTGTCTGTTCCCCTTCCCCCAATTCCCCAGCACTGTTCCCATCCCCCAATTCCCCAATAAAAATATTTTTTAAAAATAATAATGATGACGTTACTATTTAAGCCACTTTAAACCCATCTTGTGTCCTCACCTAGACCACTAACTTCTTGAGCGCAGGGACCTAGCAGAGTCTGTGGGTACACTGTGAATACTCAATAAATGCTAAATGAATGAATCTAATAATCATTCTTGGCTTTTAAATCAAATGTTAATACTATAATCCAATGCCAACACAACCAGAATAAGTCATGCAAAAACGGAAATAAAATTTCTTGTACATAAATATTAAAAATTGTGAAATAAATATCAATTGTTCTAGTATTTTAATCCCTGAATGGCAGTTTTATATAAAGGACACAGTAAAACAATAATTATATCCCCAAACTATCTTTAAGAGCCCAGGTTAAGTGTCAACATTTTCAACCAGAACATTCTTGGTTATCATCACTTGAAGCATCTACAGTGTAGATACCTATTTTTAAAAGTTAGAGTTCAAGGGTGCAGAGTACCTCTCTGTACTAGTTTTGCAACTTTCTAAAAGTCTATAATTATTTCAAAATAAAATTTTAAAAGTAAAGGCTAGGTACTAAGAAAATTTCCCATTTAAAGGAACTCCAGAACTATAAATTTACCACACTTAGAAAAATCATAAACATAAAAAGGTAACCTGTCCTTACAGAAGACTTTTCTCTACTGATTTTCAATTCATTCATTCACTCAATGTTCCACAAATATTTGAGCACCTATTACATGACCAGTATCTATGTCAATATAAGCTGTTCCTAAGGTATCAACATACAGTTTATACTACCCCTTAGATATAACTGCCACAACAGAGGACACCCTCCTTTTAAGCGCAGAACACACTCTTAAATCCATTCCAATGGCCTTCCCACTCCACAGTAATTTCCCCATTCCTACCAAGTATGGTTCCATTTCTCAACCTGAGGAAAATGGCCATTCTATGACAAAGGAGAAGATGTTTTCCTGTCCAGATTGGTTGACAAAAACCTATTTAATTTAGAATTTAGCTGAAACAGCACCACAGAAATGGAAATAATGCTGAATTATTCAGCAACATCATTAGTTGAATAGATCCTTAAGGACAATCTGTGACTAACATTTCTCTGTGAGAAATCATGTTCTGAAACCTAAACAACCAACTTAAAAATGAACTTTAAAATAAAAGTTGGGGATTGCCAGTATTTCCCACTACCCTCTTCTAACACTCTACCTAGTATCTAAGATATTTTCCCTTTGGAGTGCTTTTACTCCAGTGTATCTGCATAAGTCAAACATAAAAGGAGCAAGCTGATGTGATCCAATCATATCAGATATATCTTCTCCATTAATAATCGAGAGTTGTATACTGTGTCCTGAATCTGATAACATTGGGCCCTAACTGGGCTGAAATGCAGCTGGGACAATTTTATTACTTGTTCTCATTTAACTTCTAAGATGAGACATAATTTAGTCTCAAGAAATAATGTTACTTCCCACATCTTCAAATGTAACCTCCAAAAAATATATATCTAATGTTCTTTTGGATGACAGATCTTTCAGTAATGAAAAGAATACAATAAATACATTTTGCAACATTATAGCCTTGGAAGGATACAACAATCGTATCTCCTGCAGCAGGGTAAAGTTTAGCTCCAGGAGAAGTTAAGCCTGGACACATGATATTTGCTCCACTGAGTACAAATTTGATGGCTCCTTTATCAACCTGCTGGTGTGGCAGGATAAAAGGATCTAGAAGAAAAAAATGCATTACATAAATTAATAAGACTAATGACTCAACAGAAAAATGGCAAAGGACATGAACAAATATTTCCCCAAATTACAGTATTCTAACAGATGCAAAATAAAATAGAAACATCCTTCATTTATCCAATTGGTGAGTATTTTTAAGAAAACAAATTCCTATTGCTAGCAAGAGTGTAAGAAAACTGGCATTCCTATATACCACTAGGAGGCTTATAAATGGGTATAAACCTTTCTTTAGGACTACTTTGCAACATGTATCAACAGCCTTGAAAAGGCTCAGACTCTTTGGCTCAATAATTCTATTTATAAGATTTATCCTAAGAAAAAATGAGAGATGTACAATACATTTCAGTAGAAAGATATTCATTGCCACTAATAGTTATAATAGAAATAAACTGGAATCAAATTAAATGTCCAGCAATGAGACATACATAATTTAAGGTGTATCTACAATGTCTATATAATAGAGCCATGTTTTTTTAAGAATATATAAATACCCTGGGAAATGTTCATAATATAATGTTAAGTGGAAAAAGCAGAATAAAAATACTACCAAAAATGTCAGTGTTTTCTAGGTGTTGGTGGGGAGAGGGAAGAAGAAGGAACAAATCAGTAAAGCACAGAGGATTTTTAGGGCAGTGAATCCATTTTGTATGACACGTGAACAATGGAAATTATGCATTTGGCAAAACCCACAGGATGTAGAACACAAAGAACAAACCCTAATGTAAACTATGGACTGTGGTTAATAATGTATCAATACTGTTCATCAATTATAACAAATGTACCACACCAATGAGAGATGTTAATAATAAGCGAAGGGTGGGGAACAAGAATATGGGAACTCTACTTTCTGCTCAATTTTTCTGTAAACCTAAAACTGCTCTACAAAATAAGTCTATTAATTAAAAAATAACTATATAACAGAGCCCAATTTAAAAAGGGAAAACAATATACATTTATATAGACACTACACAGGAAATAATTGGATGGAAGTACACTGATATATGATCTCTAGGTTATGGGAATACATAAATACTTTTATTTCTGTATTCTGTATTTTCCAAATCTAGAATGAACACACTCCTTCTGTAATCTTAAAAAAATTATTTTTGCCTGTGTATGTGTGTCTACAAATAATTCATAACCTAACAATTCAAGGATCCCTGGAGATCTTAAAACAATGACTAGGGGGAAACTTTTTAGGCCGTTCAGGGCTCTCTAGGAATAATAACAACAATAATTTGTAAAACTAATTCACTTAAATGTTTTACCACTAGCCCTCCCACTAGTCAGAGAACAAGTAAGTCTTTTTCCTGCCAAGACTACAAATTAATTTAAACACGGCTCCAAATTAATTTAAACATCTTACTAATAAAAAGGAACCTGAATGAATGAATGCATTTACTACTCACAAGCCATAATTTGTTTTCTAGATCTCCATCTTCATTAATATATGCCCTTTAGTAATAATTATTATGACAATAAGTAATACTAGTGGACATTTATTAAACAATTACTACATCATTATAATACCTATCATATATTGAGCACTTACTATGTTCTAGGTATTGTGTTAGGTACATTACATGCACTATCTCATTTAATCCTCACAACCCTGGGAGCTGTAATACACAACTATGTCCATTTTAAAATATAAGGAAATGAGGCTTAAACAGGTTAAGCGACTTAACAAAAGTGACATGCACTGGGAATTAAACCTGGGTCTGCCTAACTCCAAGTTCATGTTTTTAACCACCATATTATCCTGCTTCTTGCAAGAGAATAACTTTAAGATGCTCTAAAAGATTGGTTTCCAGCAAAATAGTACTAAATAGGAACATCTGCTTCTTCCAACTTATTCTGAAAATGCTTAACATATGGAAAAACTGGAATAGGTCAATTAACACTTGGACACCATTCACTTAGATTCAACAATTGTTCATTAACACTTTGCCATATTTGCTTTATCTCTTTCTATTTAAACACACATTATTTTTTCCTCTACCATTTTAAATTTCAGACATAATGCTTCACCATAAATAAACATACATCGCCTAAGACTAAAGTTGTTCTCCTATATAACACTAGTATCATACCTAAAAATTTAACAGCAGTTCTACAATATCATCTTATAATCAAACCATATTCAAATTTCCCCCAATAGTCCCAAGAAAGTCTTCTATGTCCTTTCTTTGGGCGGGGGGGGAGGGCTTGAATTTTGTTTGTTTTTCAAACCAGGATCCAATCTAGATTCATGCAATACACTTGATTTTTTTTTTACAATACAAATGTGAGATATTTATTACACAGAGTAGATTCTTTTTTTTTTAATTGAAGTTTATTGGGGTGACAATGGTTAGTCAAGTTACACTTGATTATTTTTTCTCTGTTCTCTTCTGGTTGAGTAGAAATTAATGTCATCAAGATGTATTAATGCCACCAAAATATTTTAATTTTAAACTTGTTCCCATTGCATTGGGACCCAATTTCTTTTCATCATAGTTTTTTTTAGCCTGATGAAATCAATATTTAATTGAGTAATTGTAAATATTCCTTTTTAAATATTAAAATGCTTTACCTCTTTTAAGATTTGCCCAACAGCTTTACTGGTCCAGACCTCTGCTTCACCAGATAAGTCAAAATTTATCTCCTCTCACCAAAAACCAAACCCATTAATTCACGAATAAAACCTACAGAACCCTCCAGTCACTCCCTTCCTTTCTGCCTCTTGGCTAGAATGCCAGATACACACTGGTTTGTAAAGCAGAAATTTTACTTCACAATTAAAAACTTCTTGTGCACTGGGACTATCTTCCTTTGGATTTTCTTTTGTAATGTACTCAATCTAACAACATGCAATAATGGGTATTAATAAACATTATTTTGTTTTATAACACCTGAACTTGGCACTCAACAATACTGGGACTCCCTCAATTAGATAATACTTTCCCTTATACAGAATTATCTCTACGAGTATGAGGCAAATCCAGATACAAGTTTTAAAGAAAATACTCACATGATTTATCATAGTTTGTGAATATATATTTGTGTAATTATCTAATTATTGTCTATTCTCCCAACTAGACGGTTAGTTTCATAGGAATAGAAACCATGTCTGCCTGCTTCCCATCATATTCTCAGTACCTAGCTCAGTGCCTGACACATAGTAAGTTTAATATATATTTGTCAAATTACTGAATGTTCTTTCTTGGGCTTTCTAGAATGCATAATGAGAAAATTAGCATTTTCTGATTTACCACAAATGGGGGTTCATTTTTGTTTTATATTCAATATTACCTAGTACTAATAAATAACTACCAAATGTCACTTTCAGCTCCTTTAGTGTCTTCCCATATCCCAAAATACATATTTTCTAACAAGACTTACATTTGTGAAGTAATCTTAGGGTTGGATAAAAAGGCCCTTCTCTTTGTCTAAAAAACAGTAATTCTCCATTTACTGTAAGGATTTCTATATGTTCATGGCTGTAAGACAAATGTCATAAAGTACCAAGTTACATATTTTCTTTCAAAAATGAATATGCCAAATATCCTTTAAATATGAAACATCCATAACAGAGATACAGTAAGCTTTTTAAAAATTTCAGTAAAGATCCAGGCAAAAAAATGTTTACACTGTTTTATCTATCATACCAGTCCAGTAGAGAATAAAAAGAACAAAAATATTACCTGCTACAAACAATTTTATTTCACATATTATTTTTCACATATCATTGTTAGATAATTCAATAAAACAAATCTCCAAAGTACAAGCTGAAATAAATCCAACTCTGAATAAAAACTTTTAACTTTGATAAAACATACAGCCACATTTTTCACAAACATAGAACATTTGAAAATACAAATATTGCTTAGTTTTAGAGTTATTCTATTGGGTGTCGGAAAAGTCATGACACATTTTTGCAACGAAAAATGTAGAAAAAATATGTCATGACTTTTCCAACAACCCAATATTTATCTACTCCCATAATTACTCTATCAATATTTAATGTTAAAATCATTCCATTTATTAAGAGTGCAATCTAATCACACAATATTCAGCTATTTACTCTGAGCTTTACATAGAGAAATACAAAGACTTACTTACCATCGCACTATTTTGACAGGATCTTTCTTAGGCATGATTTGATTAAGCCATGGTTCAATACTTGGAAATTGCTCTATCAATTGGTTCTTAATACCCTTTATAACTGAGGTTTTCAACTGGATGCAGTTGGACACATTTTCTTTTTCATCAAATCTGCCAAATGATTTTTGCAAGATAAGAAGGCATTTCTAAACACACATATCAGAATAGCTAAATATATTGTTTTAATTAGTCATGTACTACCAAGCAAGTTTTTAGATGCCTAAAATAATTATGAAATAAGTTGTTTTTTTAAATAATATTTCCATTTTATTGTGTCCAGCACAACCAACGTGTTAACACAATATTAAAAAAAACCTGTCACATATACACCATTAGCTGGGGAGAGGATATGAGACATATTTCACATTATAATCGCTAATCATCTACAAAAAATGCCTTTTCTGGAAAACCTTAGCCATCTCTACCCAGGAAAAAAAAAACAGATTCCCGCCTATAGCAAAATCTGTGTGAAAAAAACAAACCAAAAGAGCCCTCAAGCATTGAGATACAAAAGTCCAGCCCAAACATAATACAGAAAACCGGTCCCTGCTAGGCTACATAATCTACTGAAATTTTTTTCTAAGTGATGATGATTTCTAAGATCCCTATTTATTTTTGTTCAATATGTCATGAACAAGACTCACCTTCCTTTTCCCATGTTCCCCCTTTGCTTTTTGCGTCTACCAAATCTGGAAAGCAAACCCACTAAGTAGGTTCCCAAATAATGGTTGTCTTCCTTACACTGAAGAGTCTATGGGACAATCACGATGGTTTCAAGACGTTCATCTGGCAGCTAGGTAACAGGCCTGACAGCCTGCTTGCTTCCTGTCACCCAGTCTCCTTCACTCCCATAACCCAGGAAGTCAAGCCTTCCCTGATTCAGTTCATCACTCATAAATATATGGTAGCGAGTGCAGGACTCCTCGTAACTAAAGAGGATATGCCCCGACATCTCAGTGCAAGTATGTGATGGGTAGAACCCTAAGAAGGAATAAGATTGGGAACGGGAGCAAAAGAGCAAGAGGGGTAAGGAAAGAAAATAAAGGTGGGAGAACCAAAACCCAACTGAGGATTAGGGATGGAAAACTGAAAGAAGTGTTGCAAGTTGCAAGTGAGAGCATAGGATTATAGAAAACCTTAAGGAGGAAGGAGGGCAGGGGCGGGGGAGAGAGAAAGAGGATCTTCTCTCTCACCCTCTTCCCCACTCCCACCCCCACCATCTTTGTAAGCAGCCAAGGGAAGCCACAGCATGTCCTTACTTCTTGAACATGATCCAAGGTGAAGGGGGCGACGACAGGGAAGGGCCCAGAATAGGGGAAAAATATTGAATTAGCAAGGGTCCACGAGGAAGGCCGGCACTGACAGTCGGAGCTGTAGTCTTTATCCGGAAAGGGAGACAGCCAGCCGCACTTTACGGTTCTCAGTGAAATTTGACTACTTCCGCTTCTCCCAACACGTTGGCGCTTTTGCCTGCCCATTTTGGGCAACCGATTGCTCACCAAAACCGGTAGCTGAAAAGGCGGGACTTGACAAGGAAGAAGAGAGCGAGTAATCATTATGGTTGCAGGAAGAGCAGAATGGAGTGGGCGGGCAAATCAAGCAAAACAGCGTTTATGGCAGTTGCATCACTTACGGGTGCTTCAAAGGGTCAAGATTCTTCCATGTTTCGTTACGCGCTACCTAAACAATTTTTTTTCCAGTGGGAAAGGGTTTTTTGTTCCCTGAGACAAACGAATGGATGGGTGCTTACTGACCAGCATGACCCAGGCTAGCCTTATAGCCTCATGTTAATGCACTTATGGGATTGCCAAGTTTAGCAAATAAAAATACAGGACGCCCAGTTAAACTTGAATTTCAGATCAACAATGAATACTTTTAAAGTGTAACTATACCTCATGTAATATTTGGGGCATACTTATACTAAAAAAGTCCTTGTTATTTGGATTTAATTGGGCATACTGTATTTCTATCTGGCAACCATATTTGCTGACCACAGTGAGGTGCCCACATAGAATTATTCACTAGGTTGCCAACTCCTACCTCACCCCCATACCTATCAGTTGAGCTATAAATCAAGAGAGGTAATGTCTTTGAGTGCTAGAATGGCCTCTAAGCGAGCAATACTAGACTAATCTGATGGAAGAGATAACAGCTAAAGAAACAAGTTTTACTTATTTAATTTTTTAAAAGTAGAGCGAATCAGGGTTTTGATCAGCAAAGAAAGCGTAGAAAAATACAAACCCTAAACAGGCACTACCCACAGGCATCGGGGTAGATGTGCACTGATGTGTAAAACAAATACACCAGTCTCTCCAGGGAGCAAATACTCTAGTCTCTGTTAGAGAGATGAGCATTTGGAGAAATCATAAAAAAAGCTGCTATGTATTTGAATTGTGCAACTAACTCACCTTGCCTTGATTCTATGATAGCAACAATCTTCTGATTATAATTTAGTTTCCCATGAAGATCTGCCCAGAAAGAATATGCTATTTTCAAATCAAATCCCCATGAACAATTGTCTTTGTAAATTAATAAATTGGCATTCTGGCTTACACATAGGGCTCTCGTGAACATCCTTAGCATGACTTCGCACTCCCAGCATCAATCAACTCCGTGACTTTTAGAATATTGAGTTTATGAACATGCAAAACTGAAGCCCAGACCCCAAGCTGTGGTTAGTGCTACACTGTTAGGCTTCTTGCCAAAGAGCTTTCCTCCCCTGGCAATTCTCACATCGCCCTGAGAGCCTGCCTTGTAACAATAAATACATTATAATGGCAATAAACAGTCACTATTGAGCAGTTTGAGATGAGTGAAAATAGATAATTTGTATTCAATCTATATATGATAATACAATTATATATATATATATATATATATATATATATATATATATATATATAAACTATATATTCCACTAGCAAGTAAAGTGTAACTTGGTGGTCCCCCAAATTAATAACACCTAGATGGACTTCCTAATTTCTTGAACTTTTGGTTTGAGAAATCTACTAATTTTAGACTTATTAAAAAGTATTATGCTAAATTTCTGTAGTGTTAGAAATGAGAGCTAATTTTTAATTCTATAAAAATTAAACATACTCTATCTAAATTATGGCAAACCCCACATGCATGGGAATATATATTGCTACATATATGTACATATTTTTTTTATTTTTTTTATTTTTCAATTACAGTTGACATCCAACATTATATTACATTCAGGTGTTGTACATACATATTTTAATCCACTCTCATGCATTCTGATAATCACAGAAACTAAATCTGAGTTATGACAAATGACAAGTTTAGGTCATTAGTATTAATGAGGTATTGAGTTCTGTATGAGTGCATTAAGTCCTTCATTAATAACCCATCTACACAGATACATAAGCAGGACCCACTTGTCACCGCAATGTGTTTCTGGTTTTGTGTTGTAAACGGCATCATCATAAAGTGGATTCTGTTTTTCCAAGGTTATAATTGGGGGTTTGCTCCTGACAAAGGACTTATCTTCAAATAAATCATTGCTACAACAAACAATGTCATAAAAGCAGAAATACTTCACAATAAACCTCTTCGAACAGTAAAATAATGAACTTCATTTATTTATGCAATAAATAGTTATAAAGACTTTTATGTTTTAGACATACATGCTCTGCACATAAGTGCATTTGTGCATAAGTGTTCTGTGCAATTTATTTTACAAGGGTCCTCAATGTACATGAAGCACAGGACACAGAAAACCCAAGTCTATCACACATTTTACTGAAATAAGTAATCTAGCTATAACTAGCATTAAACGTTTCACGATTGTATTTGCCTTCTTAAAATTTTGAAAGGATTCTATAGGGTCATCTTGACATGAGACTCTAAAATGCTGTCCAAGGAAGTTTGCAGTAAGGCCTCCTTTTCTTCTTCATAAGCTTCCTTAATCAATAAGCATTGCACCAAAATTCTTCAAGGTGTCCAGTAAAGAAGTTTATTTGGGAGCAAAGCCACAGCTTTGAATACTGGAGGAGCTACTTGCATTGTAAGAAAGAATTAGGCCACTGCCAGACCCCTCCTGGGCCTCACATCTCTAAGAGCCTACAGCCTGTGAAGTTTTCTATTAGGGTCACTTTTCCCCAAAACTGTCTCTCAGCCTCCACCTTAGAGCCTCCTGCAGCTGGCTTCATATCCCCCACAAGAGCAAGATATACATAAGAATTACACCACAATCCCCACTACCAATTACTCTGGAGAGCCCAAGTAAGAAAATACATCTGCTCAGCCACTGCCTGGATTCTTCCATACTGAGCAATATAAGGAACACCAACAAAATAGAAGCTTCCACCTCTAATCCCAAATACAGCTAAATTTTGAGAGACCGGATAGCCCACTGTTTATCAGAAGACAGTCAGGACTAACCATTTTGCCTAACTTGTGATAAACCAAACTCATCATTCCTCACTCACATCCCTGTTTTCCTTTGTCAGCACCAGATACATAAGCAACTAGTTCAACTTATTTGCTGTGTGATGTTGGGAAGGTCACTTAAAAATCTGTGCCTGTCTTCTCATCCATAAAATAAACACTCACTTTATGAGGTGATTAGGATTAAATGAGGTAATCCATGCAAAGCATTGTTAAATTATTATTATTGCTATTATTAATTTACTACTATTATTGTTGTTATTCCTCTCCTCTAACCTCATTCCCATATTCCTCTGTGCTTCTTCTCCCCCCACCTGACCTCTCATTTCTACCTTAACTTCCAAATGCTTCTGCTGTGCCTCCTGGAACATTCCGTGATTAACAAACTCCTACCATCTTCAAATTCATCTCTGAAATAGCCACTGATATCACTGGCTTTCCGATGAGGATGGAGCTTCCTTTACAACCCTTTCAAGTGAAAGTGATTTATATTAACACACTGCATGTACTGCAGTCAGGAGGTGTGGTCGGCATATTCTTCCAGCCACATTACAAATTCCAGATAATTACTCCTTCACACTCAGGTAAAAAACCTGATTCTTCTTCCTCCGAGTTTCATACCACTTGTTACATCTCAACTCCTTCTTTGCTGTCCTCTACTCATTCATTGAAGATCATAGCATCTGTTTCATGGTCTTTCCTCTCCACCCTAGAATTGTTAAACACTGCAAGAGAAAAATCACACAGTTGAATAAATTGGTTCCACTCTGAATTCATAGTCGCCAACCTCAAATGAGCTTTCAATATTCCTTGGAATCCTTCTATGTTTACAGCTCACTCTCTCATTCTCCCTAATTATTCTTTCAAAGCTCCATTCTCCTCAAAACTCCGACTCCTCAACAGCTTCTTCAATCTTATGAAATAACTCACCTCTTTTTTTTTTGTTTTTGAATTACAGTTGATGATCATTATGATACTAGTTTCAGGTGTACAGCATAATGGTTACACATTTATATTGGGTTGTCGGAAAAGTCATGACGCATTTTTGCAAAAGATTGCGCTAGTTCATTTTTGGAAGTACTAGAGTCATCCGCATCTATGTTATTGTTATGTCATTTGACAGCTGACAGTTCTAGCTTCATTCTAAAAAATATTGAGCGATTTGGTTGAGTTTTGGAAATTTTACAACAAGTTCAAGATGGAAGGACAAACTGTGCAGTTTCGCCATATTTTACTGGTTTACTTCTGTAAAGGGAAGAACGTGTGTCAAGCTTGTGAAAAGTTGCATACAGTTTACAGTGACAATGCTCTACAAGAACGTCAGTGCCAACAATGGTTCACGAAATTCTGTGCTGGTGATTTTGATCTCAATGACGCTCCTCAGCCAGGAAGGCCCACCGAGGTTGATGATGACAAAATAAAGACATTGATCAAGTCAAACCCACGTTACACAACAAGAGAGATTGCAGAAACATTGAACACCCATCATTCAAGCATTCACGATCACCTGAAAAAGCTGGGATACATAAGCAAGCTCGATATTTGGGTTCCTCATGAACTCAAAGAAGTTCATTTGATGGCACTTATAAACTTCTGTGATATGCTCATTAAACATGAGGAAAACAATCCTTTTTTTAATTTTTTTTAATTTTTATTGTTAGTTTCAGGTGTACAGAACAATGCAATAGTTACCCTTTTCACCCTCACAAAGTAACAACCCCCCTACCCCATCCACTGCCCTCCCACCCCCAATATCATGCTTATCTATTACAATTCCATTGAATCCGTTCCCGCACTCTACTCCATGTCCCGAGGTTATATATGTATATATAATTATCGTTGACATACAGTATTANTTTTGTTCTTCAGTCTAGTTGTGGAGGACATCGCTTCACTGGCCCATGTTGGTATTATCATTGCGCTCTTCCCGGCTGAGGCAGTCGCTCGCTGGCCATTGGACGGCCACTCACGGCAGCTCAGGGCAGCTCACGAAAGCTCACACCTGCTGCTGCCAGCCAGCCCCACTGCAGCCTATGCTGTCACCAGCGGCTCATGGCAGCCTAGCTCCAGGTAGAGCTGTTGTTTACCATCTTAGCTGTAGAGGGCGCAGCATCACTA